GCCAATGGTTGCTGCTTCACACAGATGTGACACTTAGCAAGCCCCTTCAGGGGTACTCCCCTCCTGGGGATTGATAACTGGCCTTCTTAATGCTGGGATGTTGCATTTCCTCACCTCTTTCTTTTTTCTGAAACAAAATATAGGTCCCTGTTATTGCTGGGCAGAGGACAAGGGAGCAGAGGGCAGATGCCATCTGAATGTGCTCTCACTTGATCGGAGTTGATGAAGCTTCTTTATAACCTGTCCTTGGTTGTACTTGTGTTATTACACACTCAAAGTCCCTGTATTTTCCAACAATGGAAAAGCATTTGCTATACATTTAACAAAATGACTCCCAATTCCCTAAGTTCCATGTACAAGTTTTGCCAATGTAGACACCCTAGCAATGAGCAAAGTGAAGATGAGACAAGGAGATCACGATGAGAACATTGTGCTCACAACTTTTTCATGAATCAGTGTTTTGCCCACATGTAGAAGCTTACAGCAGGAACCAGGGGACTCTGGATCCTCACTTGCACTAGCCACTTTGGCATGGGTTCCTGTGTCACCAATTTAGGGACAGTTGCACAACCTTCTTTGTCCAAACATGGACTATGACCATCCTTAACTAGCAAGGCATTTTCCAAACAAGCTAAATGCCCTATTCTGAGAGGAATGACTAGTGGGAGTCAAAGGCAAGCTTCTTGGGAGCAAAGTTGCTGAAAAAAAAATAAACATAACAACATGAGCCACCTTAATCTTCCCCTTTCAAGGCAGATAGCGACCTGATTAGTTCTGCATCTCAGGAGTCTGCTCATCTTCCTGTGCCTTCAGCTCCTGCTGTCAGCAGCCTATTATTTCTCTCATTCGCTGTGATTTTAGCTGACTGTGACATTTTTCACTCTTGCCTTTTGAGACAAAATGTGTTTGCCTGAGATAAAAAGAAAAAAAAAAAAAAACCAACCTTCCACACCTAACTTGAAATTAAACCCACTAATTTAAAATGAATATTAGATGGTCCAATTTATTCTTTTAAAGTTATAAGCAGTAGGGAACAGAATCACACTCCTGACTACCTGATTCCCTCAAACACTTCTTACCTGCACTTTCCTTCTAGGAGGGAAGCCTTGGCACAACACACCAGGGAGACAAGCAGACCTCGACCATCCACGTAAGTACCCGGTGTCTCCAAAGGTGCTCCAGGGTGCCACTCTCTTGGCCATGTTCACACTGGGTTTTGATTTGTGCAACTCTCAGGTACCACAGGATGTCCCCAATTACATTAGGCAACCAATCAAGTTGGCCTGCCCTCTGCTCAGTGCTATAATAATGGTGGCTCTTCCCTAAGGAGTGGCCATGGGCATGCACCTATTGCCCAGCAACAGCCAAACTATCAGAGTGCTATTAATGCTGTGTTGACTGAAACCAGGTCATGGGAAGGGTGGTTCTGTGCAGTGCCGACTCAAGCGATGGCAAATAATCGTATGCATTTTTATGTATTGGCTAAACAGCAAAGAACGCGCAGCTGTACTTTCACTTTTGATAAAGGAATTTGAAAATAGGTTTCAGCCTGTCCCTGTCAGGGAGGTTCTCCAACCTTCTCATCATTTTCATGGGAAATGCCTCTGCCTCTGGAGCTGCTCCAATCAGCTCAGTATCCTTCTTGAGTTGGGGACCCCAGAACTGGATGCAGTAGTTAAGGTGGAGTCTCAGGAGGGCAGTGTAGAGGGGCAGAATCACCCCCCTCAGACTGCTGGTCATGCTTCTCTTGATGCAACCCAATATACGGTTGGCCTTCTGGGCTGCAAGCGCTCATTGCTAAATCATGTTGAGTCTTTCACCAGCTGACATCCACAAATCCTATCCTCAATGCTGCTCTCAAGCCATTCCCCACCCAACTTGTATTTATGCTTGGGATTGCCCCAGCCCAGATGCAGGACCTTGCACTTGGCTTTGTTGAACTTCATGAGGTTGGCACGAGCCCACCTCTCAAGCCTGAAGGGATGGCATCCCTTCCCTCTAGGGAGTCAACTGCACCACTCAGCTTGGTGTCATCTGCAAACATGCTGAGGGTGCACTTGAGCCCAGTGTCCATGTCACCTACAAAGACATTAAACAGCACTGGTTCCAACACCGATCCCCGAGGAATGCCACTTGTCACCGATCTCCACTTGGACACTGAGCCCTGACTGCAACTCTCTGAGTGCGACCATCCAGCCAATTCCTTATCCAGTGGGTGGTCCATCCATCAAATCCATCTTTCTCCAATTTGGTGACCACGATGTCATGCAGGACAGTATCTAATGCTTTGTACAAGTCCAGGTAGATGACCTCAGTTGGTCTTCCTTAATCCAATGATGCTGTAACTCCATCATAAATTGTCACCAAATTTGTCAGGCGTGACTTGCCCTTGATGAAGCCATGTTGGTTACCACTCATCACTTCAAGTTTATTTTCTATGTGCCTTAGTAGGGCCTTCAGGAGGATCTGCTCTATGATCTTGCCAGGCACAGAGGTGAGACTGGCCGACCTGTAATTCCCTGGATCTTCTTTTTTCCACTTCTTGAAAACCTTTTCCAGTCAGTAGGAACTTCTCCAGACTTCCATGGCCTTTCAGATATATTGGGTAGCTGCTAGTCAACTTCATCCGCCAGTTCCCTCAGAGTCCATAGATGGATCTCATCAGGTTCCATGGACTTGTGCACCTTCAGGTTCTTTAGATGGTCTTGAGCCTAATCTTCACTTACAACAGGCCGATATTCCTTCTCCCAGTTCTTACCTTTGCTTTCTGCAGCATTGGCAGTGCAGCTAGAGCTCCTGCCAGCAAAGACTTTCATAATCCCTATCTTACCAGAGAGAAATATCTCTCACTTCACAGTTAACCCTCACTCATGTCATCACTTTTTGGCAGTATATGCATTTGTGAACAACTATTTTCAAGGATGAAGTACAGGAAGAATGAAATTTCATCAACAAGTCTCTGATGAGCACCTTGAGACCTCTCTAAGAACTGCAACCACTGCCATCAAACCAGCCTGATGCATTGATTTCACAAAAAGGTCAGATATCCCACTAGTTTTATGTGTTTGTTCCTCTCTTTTTTAGTGTTTTAAGAAAAATATTAAAAATTTAAATGTTTTGTTACTTACATATTAGCAATATTGTATATTTTATGAGAGCTGCTCTAAAACTAATGTATCTTGTTTTATTGTGTTGGCCCACGATGCCCAAGGCACTTTTTGGTGATATGGCAGTAGAAGTTGAAGCAGCCTACCAATATTCCATTACATTTTTTTTTTTGCTGTATGACAGATGGCAGCAAGGGGCAGTCTGACACAAGGGCATCTGAAACTAAGATCTATCATTGAATTCCTCCATGTGGAAAAAAATGCACCCACCGACATTTGCCAATGCTTGCTGAATGTTTATGAAGACCAAACAGTGGATGTGAGCACACTGAGGCGGTGGGTGGTATGTTTCAGCAGTGGCAACAGTGAGTCACCTCCAGTGCTATAGATTTTTATGGCATGGATGCAGGCCCTTGTTCATCGCTGGCAAAAATGCAGAGCTAACAGTGGTGACTACATTGAAAAATAGTATTTTGTAGCTGAGGATTTTCTCTATCAAATAGTGTTATTGGGCACTTTTTATCTGTAGTAATTTCCATGGAAATAAATAGGAGGCATTACTCTTGGAACAACCTATGTATATATGGCCCAAGACAACTCCTATTCATTCGGTGTGGCCCAGGAAAGCCAAAAGGTTGGGCTTAGATGCTGCTATAGACGTCCACAAGGTTGTTTTCTTCTATTTTGGGCAGCTTTAATCAGCAAAGCATCCTCTTATAAGATTATTCAAAATACAATATATGAAACAAACAGTACTTAGGTTTCACTATGAAGAAGTAACCCAAAGTAAACAGATTAATACCACAGCTTTACAGTTGTGTGATTTGTACTAGATGCTTTGCCTAAGCAACAAACGGAACTCTCAACTATTAATTTCAATATACATCATGCACACTCAATTATCAACATGAATCAATGCTTTTTAAGCCACTAATAATTGCTGATTTGGTGGAAAAAAGACATCCTTCTGATGGCCGACTTTGGCAAAAGCACTTTTACAAAAAAACTTTGTTGCTACTGTACAAAAAGGAACACAGTGTTAAAGAAACACATTACGTAGTGATACTTAATAGCGTGCTCACAGGGCAAGAAGAAAAAAATTTGAACTAAATGGGGGAAAAACAGAACTCAGACCTAGAAATACTTATTCACTGTAACAATTATTCTCAGAAATAAATGTTCATAGGCAAGTCTTTGAATCAAATTCAGCTGACTATGTTGCTCTTCCTATTTAAGAGTCTTCTGCAAAGGACAAGGTGAACACAGCAATGTAATCTTTATTCAGAAAGGCTCATAGTGAGATTCTGTATATAGGCAGAAGGAAACAAGTGGTATGAATCGCATGAATTCAGAAACTGAAATATGAGGTAAATAGCATCAACATTGGAATACTATAGAAGAGAAATAAAGCAGTTTTAATAAAATAAATGTCAAAATTCCCTTTGGTCTGAAATTTGAAACGTAGCACGCTCCACTTTGTAGAAACGAATTACGTGTAACTGTTTCATAGCATCAGGGATAAGTTCATTATATTGACTGAATAACAAATACATATCATTTAGTGATTGTATGATCAATGAACATAAAGATGTTATAACTACGAAATAAACCAGACAGTCTGTCTAAGCAGATTATAATAACAAAAAGAGAATAGATAAAGTGCTTACCCGTGTCCTGGGCTCACCGCAAATCTCCAGAGGAGGGATCTCCAGAAGAGATCCTTTCCCACTGGCAGTCAGCTCTTAAATGGGTCTAGGAGAGGTGAGCCAGGTTCCACCCCTTCCGGCAGCCCAGGTGAATTGCCTTCACCTGTGCTCCCATGGCTGACTCATTGCTCGCCTCAGGTGATCAATCAGGTTCAGGCTGTGATTCAGCAGTTCCCATACAGCAATATACCAAAAAATAGCACAGTATTTATTTTTCCTCACATTCAGGCCTGTTGAACATGTGATTTATGTGTTTTTCCAGATCAGTGGTAGCGATTACAAAGCATAAGAACTAAAATGTGCTTAAATAATTTGGTTGTGAGGGTCTACCAGTCGTTGGTCCTTGGGTTGGAAGTTTCATGCGACTGCCCACGTAGCTTTGATATCTCCAGGAAAAAGGCTGCAAACACTTTTGCTCCTTCAATATAGTTGTGTCTGTGAAAAAGGAAAGAGAATAAAGTCCTCAGGTCAATCAGCTTTTCAGCTAGTGGCCTACTCCAAGTTTTGAGTATCTCAGAGAAATCTGTGAGGATGCCCACCAAAAAGAACCAACAAAAGTTTCTTAGTATTATTAAAAAATCACCCATGTATTAGCACAAGTTTAACAAGCAAAACTACTCTGTCACCCCCTTAACTCTGTCTTTCATCAATGATTATTCTGGTTCAGGAGAAGGCTATGAGGAAAACCACCTCTGCAAGGATGAGAAAAATATTGTGTCCTAAGTCCTCCTTCATGCCTGTGGTGACTACAAATTTCTCTGTTTGTCCTTGCTTTTTCTTACAGCGAAAATGAACAAATGAAAGAAACCTGCTTATTTTCTCATTCTGGGAGTGTTCTCCATCATCAGCTGCTCCAATCGGAAACATTATCACCCTTTTCTGTGTTATAGTCTGAAAGATTCTGGCAATAGGAATTGTTGAACCATCCCGAATGAAATCTGGATCTTCTCCAAAAACTGAAACACATGCAAAGAATGAATTAATTGTTAACTGAAATAAAAGATGCTTTCTTCTACTACCAAATACCTACATTCTGCTCAAACATGAATAGCTTGAGTAGAAATTGTTATGAGAGCACAGTCGATTAACTTAACAAATCAGTTTACTGTTCCATCTCTGTATGAGTACATGAAAGAACTAAACAAGCTTTTTTGGCTGGTCCTAGCAAATGCAGACCAACTCAGCAAGATATGAAAGGCTTTGTGACCAAGTTGTTCTGTCAAAATCAGTGAGGTTCATTATGGTGAGTATAGCACAGTCCTTTGTCTTTGTGGATGAGCACATTTCCCCTGCAGACTTGCAGATATATCAAAAACTGAAAAAGAAGAGACATACCTGTTCTTATTGCCCTTTTTGCTGCTTTATATAGTGGATCATTAACATCAGCGATCCAAGGTTTGGCACCCAGGGGCATGGACACCTTCAGTTTGTTTGGACTGTTCCTCTTGGCAAATACATTCTCCAAATGGTCCACCACCTGCAGGGCAAACACTTTCCATCTAGAATCTTTCATCTTCTTGAAACTACCCTTGTAAACAGCTAAATGCAAGAAACATTCATTCAGTTTACTATGGAGGTTGTAAAGATGTGAGGTGCTATGAGGACTTAGCTTACACAATAGAAAGTACCTGGCTTTAGCTTCTTACCTGTTGTTTCACATCTGAAAGATCCATGTTGGGGACTTGGCGGATTGAGAATTTCCCTATGACTTTTGCTGGAATTACTGTTTTAATTCCTGGTTCATGAAAAGCTCCTTCAATCCCATGAATAGAGAGAGAAGGATAATGCCACAGGTGTAGAAGTATTTCTTCCTTCAAAAAATAAGATAAAAAATAGAAGGGATGACACTGGAGCTGTGTACAATTGGTAGAACCAAACTGAAGAAGCACACTTTTTCCATCCACCTTGTACATTTAGAACACAGAGCTCTCAAGATGTTTGGTTTGTAACTTAAACTAATTCTATCTTTTCATTTCAAAAAATACTTCTACTTCCTTCCAGTCTACATTTGTTTCCATTTAGAAACATTTAGATGAGAAAAGCCTTTCATACAAAATAAGAAAGTTGAAGCACAATTAAAAATATTTTGGCAGTGAATTTTTTAGTGCCAAGTTACAGCGTAACAACTGATCTGACCGTCTGTGGATCTCAGTACTTCTACAGAAGAAACCTGTGACCAGTTCAGCCAGACCGAATTCAGATAATACAGGAGAGAAATTATACTAATGGCCCAAGTGGTGAGTGGAAAAGGGATAATGTTCAGTAACTGGTATGATGTCTTTTCCTGGAGGAGATAAGGGGGAAAAAATAAATAAACAAAAAATAAAGTGCTCATTCTAAAGAGGAGAGGAGTGATAGGACATCTTTTTTTTTTTCCCCTCCTTTTTTCTTTTTTTTTCCTTTTTTTTTTTTCCTAGTAACTGTGTAAACTGGATCGAGTGCAGAACTCCAGAGTGCCTCTCTTTCTTTGTACTCCAGCTTTCTGAGACTGGAGCTTTATGCATACATGCAATTTCCACTATTTCATCCACATCTAGGAAAAGCATCAAAACTTATTTACTGTTAATTATACTTACAGAAGACCAGTTATTACAGTCTAGCTTAGGCCATTTCAGAAGCTTTTTCACAGAAATAAAAGCTAATATTGATATAATTACATTAGTGATAAAAATATTAAATACCCTTTTTCCCAGCTGCAAGTCATAAAATCACAGAATCATAGAATGGCCTGGGTTGGAAAGGACCACAATGTTCATCGAGTTTCAACCCCCCTGCTGTGTGCAGGGTCGCCAACCACCAGACCAGGCTGCCCAGAGCCACATCCAGCCTGGCCTTGAATGCCTCCAGGGATGGGGCATCCACAGCCTCCTTGGGCAACCTGTTCCAGTGTGTCACCACCCTCTGTGCAGAGAGATCTTTCTAAGCCAGCCCTTATCTGTAATTTTTATTTAGAATGTATTTTTCAATTCTGGCAAAGTGGCTTATAACCAAACTGTTTAGTTTGCATTATTCTTTTTCATTGATTTTTCATATTTTTGATTGCTTTACCTCAAAGCTTTCATTTTCCACAGATTAATTTTGTTTATTTTTTTGGTGCTCTATGTTCCCTTATTTTGAGTTTCCCTTTGGCAGAAAATATCTTTCAGTTTGGCTTTATCCATAAACACTATGAATGCGTAATTTAAATTCTTTCTGCTATGCATTTATGTTTACCTTGGTGCTGTAGAGGAGTTTTTTCACTCCACTATTATTTTTGTGTTCCTCTATATCATATTCAGTAGATTCACACAATTTCTTATCCTCATCTGTCAGGGCAGCGACAGCATCATAGATTCCAGGGATCTGAATATGACCTGTGGGATCTACAAGGCTGTCTACAAAAGAAAATGAAGATATCAGTAAAAGTAGGACTTCTTTCTTCTACTTGGCGATTGCAACTTCTTTTCCCTTCTAATTAACTCTTTTGAGTTAATGAAATGAATAACTCTAACAAACAACTACTCTGTTTGCATCCATCAAGTTGCCTCACGACGTATTTTCATGTTTAGTAAGAAAAGCACTGAGCTGTTATTTGTTTGCAGTGTGTAGTGGGTCAGCCCAACTGCATGCATGAGAGCATCATCCCACTCAGAAACAAATCAGCATTAGATTGGGCACTGCTACTTGCATACATATTCAGATTGCCCACAGTCCTAACCCATCCTAAATTGACAGATGAGTATTAGACTGAAAGCATAGCAGACATATGTCTGCTCTTACAAGGGACATTCCCTTCCTTATCTGCTCTCACCACAGCTATGCTGAGCTTTGGAAACCTAGGAATCATGCTTCTGTTGGACTTGCCCTATGCAGGTCAATTAAACATAGCACTGATCTTCATTGGGTTGATTGCTAGTTACTGTTCCCAGCTACTCTTGCAATGGTGCATGTTATTACCCAGCAGAGCTATCAGGTCAGTCAGCGGCTCGTGAATGATGCCTCCAAAAGTTCCAGAGTGAAGATCCTTGTCACCACCTTCTACCTGTGCCAAAAACAAAGTTTACATATCAGTAGTCCCCACCTCATTCTTTTGTGAGTATTCATTTTCCTCAGAAACTGGTAGCCTCACCTTTTCAAACAAGGCCACAAATAGAAAACTATTATGTTTCCATTCATGAAATGGGAAACATGTCAGGAACAATCTGCTACTAGTAAAGAGAAGATAGGCCTCTGTTGTTAACCAATGGAGAGAGAAATTCAGCTGTCTATACTACTTACAGGTATTTGAAAGAAAGAATCCTTCTCCATTTCCTCCTTTACTTCAGTAAAATTAAATACATCATAACTATGTTGCATATTGCAGTTTTTAGCATTGTAGAATAAGTGCAAAAATCTTCATGACAAAGGCACAACCTTATTCTACATTTATAAAACATATGTCCAAGTTTGAATTGAATTGTTGATTGTAACAAATAAGAATTCAGAGCTCTCTTGAATCACACAACTTTAGAACAGAGAAAGGCATTTGGTTTATTAAATGGGTTATTTTTCCAGACACGATTTCACGCTCAGGTTTATTGTAAAATATATTCCTGCAACAAACTTGTTTATTCTTCTCTAAACCTCATTACAGCCAACTGTCTAGAAGCAGGCAGAGGTCATTTTTGATGTTTTAATGTTCTCATTTTTCTTAACCAAGACTTGCACGAATTGAATAAAAACTACTGAGGTTCTTTTGGTTAAAAACAAATTTTCATTCTTTTTCAAACATGAAGGTTAACGTAGATCTTTTTTTAGTTCTCCAGTTCTTTAATCCTCTCTCTGGATTCTTTTATGCTTAAAGTTTCCAGCAATGAAATTTCACTTCACAGTAGCTCACGCTGGCTGCTCAATATAACGCAGTGCACCATTATTTGCTTCCGCCAATGGTTAAAAAAATTTTGCACTGCTTTTAAACTCGGAGATCCAACTGAACTGAATGTCTTTAGGCAGTGATGTTGCATTTAGCAATACCTGCTGAAGAAGGGCAAAAAAAAGCAGCAGGAGGAATAGGTTTGGAGGGGCAGTCATCTACTACAGAAGAGGGCTGATGTGAGGATGGGGCAATCAGAAACAGCAGGAACAGGAGACGGAGAGTAATGGTATAGGGGAGAGATCAAAAGCGGAGAAATGACAACTGAAGAGAAACTAATGAAAGCAAATAAGGCTAACAACTGAAATAAGGAGGGAAATCTGCACAAGCAATGAAAAGCATGGAAGGAAGAGCTGCATTTGTAAATGCTCAACTTGCTCTCAGCCTTTCTGTGCATTCAGAGACAGATGCGATCTCAGATACATCACTGCTCACTATCAGGGACCCACTTCACACAAACCCACGTCCCTCACCTCCACGGAGAAGCAGGCATTGCCTCGAGTCCCACATATAAGGGCAGGCTTCTTCTTGCTGAGCCAGAGGTTGTCTGAAATCACAATGTAATCAACGTCTGATAAAAAGCCCTGTTTTTCTTCTTCAAGAAGCTTCTCCAGCCCCAGAGACCCTGCTTCCTCCATGCCTTCAATAACAAACTTGAAGTTTACTGGCATAGCCTGAATGAACATCAGAGAAGTCTGGATAAGGAACAAGCACTTTCAAAAATAAAGAGGAATCTGTAAAAGGCAAAAGCAGGCTGACTTACAATACATATTCAGTAGAGAACAATATGGAATATATGGATTATTTTAATAGAAATGCATTGGTAGATACATACATACATACAGTTTTCCTGCTAAACCTGTTTTTCTTTTTTTTTTTTTTTTTTTTTTAATAACAATGCATTAAGAAATATCTTTTCACTTCTATTTCCATAAAACTTTTTGGGTTGCCATGGGATTTCTGTCAGTAATATTAAATATTGATGACTTTGGAAAGTGTGGGTAATAACAATCGCATTTTCACAGAAAATATCTGGTCTCTTAAACTTGCACTACTAGTGCCCATCTTGGAATCACTTGCAAAATTCCACTGCTGCTGTTTTCCCAGCATGTTACCCATGATGAAGGTTAGTCACCTGGTGGTGAAAGTGCTCTTGGAGAATCCCTGATAGTTGTCCTCATGAACCTGTAGCCCTGTTAGCTCATAAGAATGCATTTCTAAGAGTAACTAGGAGAACTTCTGTAGAATATTGAGTTACAAGTGCTGACCTATCCTATAGGAGAAACAAACGTGATCTCAGATTCCCATTTCAATTCATTTTCTGATTATAGGCTGTAAGGATGTTCTCTGGTTTGATTCAGTTCTCAAATTAAGTTCAGGAAGAAATGTTTAGATTTAAATTAACTTGTGCAATGAATATGTTCACCAACGGCTCATCAAACAACCACAAAAATTCAGAAACAAACCACTCATGAGTATTGCCGGATGGTCTGTGCTGCTTTCTAGGGGAAGGTGTAATGACAAAGATTTATTTTTGTCTGCTTATTAAATATGACCTCATAGCTGTTAGCAATATGGTAAAAGCTTTTGACACTGTCTCCTGCACAGTATTCTCCTTTGCGGGACAATGACAGCAGGACCACTTTTACGTTGCTTACAGACTACTGACAATAAAAATACACATTAAATAAAAAGTACACATTCATACTGGAGGGGGATAAGTGCAGTATAAATGGCATTAGAAATAAGCTAATATTTCAAGATACACATACACTGTTGGGACTGAAACATATTATCTAAGTCACAAGAAGGCAAATACATTCCTCCAGAGAGATACTATAATAATAACCAAGTCCTCACTGATACCTACTATTTTCAAGGCTCTAAACGTTTCCACTGCATTTATCCAAGCCAACACAGGCCCTTTATTATCTGTTGCTCCACGCCCATAGAGATTTCCTTAAATGAAAAAAAAAGAAAAAAAGAAAAAAAGAAAAAAGCTTTCAAGCAATTTTAAACTCATTTAGTCTCATCAATGCAATCTGCAAATTTCTATTGCCACAGAAGCTGTACCAGCATGTCAAGTGAGATATCAACAGAATCAGGATTTCGTTGATGGGTTTAAATTAAGGTGGTGGCTGTTTACCAGTTAAATTCTATGTTGGTTTTTGTTGTGATTGTTTTAAATTTTGTTTACTTCATACAGCAGTTTCTGCTACATGCTGGGGCTTTTTTTTGTTTGTTTGTTTATTTCATTATTATTTCCACGCCTGTTTAAAGGAGCTCTTTGATCCCTCCAGATATGCCTGAAGAGTTTGCACAAGATGCAGTTTCAGCATAGGTGACAAGCAGCAAAAGAGCACAGATGAGCACCACCACAGAAGTGTGAACTGCAAGTACAGTTGCAGAATAATTTTTTAACAATCAGCTGTATAGCTACATAGGACAGATTTTAATTTCACGTACAGCAGTAAATATGTGTGGAAGTCCCCAGTGTAGGTGAAAGGGTTACCTTACTAAACTTGTTTGAAACCAGTCCCAGCAGATGGGAAACAGTGACTTACTGGCTACAAGACTAGGAACCAGAATCCCTGTGTTCTTGAATTCTCTCACCCTCTAACTCACCATCCACCATTTGTCTTCCTTCAGTGAACTTATCATGCTCAGATGATTGCAAGACAAGGATTGCTACCTCAAGTGAGGACTCATATTCTTCCATCCAGTGGCACTAGGTGAACCTCATGAGATTCAACAAAGACAAGTGCAAGGTCTTGCAGCTGGGTCATGGCAACTCCCACTATCAACATAAGGTGGGGGGTGTAAGGATAGAGTGGAGCCCTGCCAAAAGTTCTTGGGGGCACTGGTGGATGGCAAACTGGACATGAGCAAGCAGTGTGCCCGCGCAGTTCAGAAAGCCAACCATAACCTGGGCTGTATCAAAAGAAGTGTGGCAGTGGGTCAAGGGAGGTGATCCTGCCCCTCTACTCTGCACTGGTGAGACCTCACCTGGAGTAGTGTCCAGATGTGGAGTCCTCAGTACAGGAGAGACATGGACCTGTTGGAGTGTGTCCAGAGGAGTGCCACAAACATGATCTAAGGGATGGAACACCTCCTCAATGAAGACAGGCTAAAAGAGCTTGGGGCTGTTCAGCCTGGAGAAGAGAAGGCTCCAGGGAGACCTGAGAGTGGCCTTTCAGTATGTAAAGGGGGCTATAAGAAGGGGACAGACTCTTTAGCAGGGTCTGTTATGACAGGACAAGGGGAAATAGTTTCAAACTAAAAGAGGAGAGATTTAGATTGGATATAAGGAGAAAGTTTTTTTAAGATAAGGGTGGTGAGGCATTGGAACAGTTTGCCCATAGATGTGTTGGAAGCCTTATCCTTGGTGACGTTCAAGGTCATGATGAACTTACACTCTGAGTAACCTGATGTAGCTGTAGGTGTCCCTGGTCATTGCAGGGGATTTGGACTAGATGATCTTTAAGGGTTTCTTCCAACTGCTCAGAAGATTCTATAGTTCTATGAAATGCTCCTAAGTTCCAGTGTGGCAGGAGGAGATGCTAAAGGATTACAGTGACTGATCCAACAACCCAATCTTAAAGCAGAAGTGGACTTTCTAATGATCACTAAAAAGTGACATTAACCTCATGTAGCTCTTCCACACCAATTATTAAGCAGTCAGTGATGAGTCTCACAAATCACAACGTGGTATCAAGAAGTAAAGTTGCTGGATTCGTCCCATCAGATTCCATGGGAGAAGTTCTTGTGCTGTAGTTAACAATATAGGGAACATCCTCCTGCTGGAAATCTCAGAGTCATATTTCAAATGATGACAGAAGAATTATAATTGGGTACACACCATTGATTTCAGTCAATGTGAAAGGGTCAGTTTTCCAGCCATCTTCTTTTTTGGCAGGCTGTACATCCACGTGGCCATAGAAACAGACGGTGAGGTTTTGGGGATCCTTGCCAAGTTTCCCAAGAATGACAGGTGGCAGTGGAAGGTGCTGGCCATTCAGCAACTGTAGATCAACATTATAAACAACATTATAATCAACATTATAAAAGCAACCTTTGAAAACTTGCAAACGTTATAAGAACTGGAGAACTCATAAGAACTCATTGCAAATAATTCTGCATATTCAGTTGATTTGATCAAGTCCTTAAATCGGATTTTGAATCGAAATCTAACCCACTTAGAGAGATTAAGACTTTTTTCCTTCATGTTCTGCTGGGACTTTATGGAGCTTCTCTAATATTTTATTGCAATAAATGGACTCTTTACTAAACTAGTACTTCTCAGTACTGAAGGAGAGAAAGTTGACTGTATGCTGTGTTGACAAAAGCATATCTTGTGACATTAAAATAGTCAAAAGCTACACAGAAGCTAATTTGGGGACTTATTTTTCAACAGACAGATGGCAGGAGGATTGCAACTTCAGATAAAGAAACAGAATAAAACTTTGCTGGCAGCAGAAATTTGGTAATGTTTTGAAAACAGGTTGTGGCTCTAAACTACTCTTATAATTCACAGTTATGCAGAACAGATCACCACATCTTGGCCAGGAGAGGCTGGACATCTCACAGGGGTGAAAAATAAGAACTAAAAGAATGCACGTATCTCCTCAAATTCACCAGTAATATTGATTTGTATAAATCTGTTGAAGACTAAAATGTAGCTACTTCTTGCCCAGCAATAGAAGGCCCTAAGCAGAAAGATGTGCCTCTGATCTCTGCTTCAACAACAGGTAATGCGTTCCCTACTGTTATTGACACAGGCTGTTGATATATATCTTGGCAATCATAATTGCATGCCATGTGCTCAGGTTTTAATTTTAAATGCATTCATTTTGACTAGTAAGTGACATGGCCTGATAGTAATAAAATATTGCTGTGCCGCAAGATTCTTGAGTTGAGAGGTTCACTGACCTTCCCAGGAGCCTCATAGGAAGGAAAAGTGAATCCCTGGTCATGAGTTTTAAATTCCTGTGAGCACAGAAAGCCAGCAGCTTGGGGCAGGAAAGAGCCACAGCCTCAATGAGATGAGTAAACTGGAGATAAACATTTCTCAGAGGCTAACTCTTACCTGTTGTTTTCCAAGAATCATTGAGCCCCTCAAAAAACAAAGATGACACTTAAGGTCCTATTTCTGGTAACATTTTCCTTGAAAAAGTTGCTTCCTCGTATGGAGACTTTGGTGAAGAGCTGATGCATTAACTGTGGTACATCATCAAGAAGAAAGTTAAAATAAACCATGGTAAAAATTCAGACCTTTTTCCTTTTCTTTCTGTCCTACAATTAATGGGTAAAACATGAAACATGCACAAATATGACATTTTAAATACAAGGAACGGACATGCACCTGCTGTGACCCCAGGCTTACTGAATTAACAGTGGCTCCCAAAGCTGCAAGCCTGGCTGCTGCCAATGACATCATGCGTACAACTTCTTTCCTCAGGTCTGGTTGCACAGAATCACTTTCCACAGCCACCCATTCCTTGAGATTCTGCACAGGAAGAAAAGAACAGCTCAAAAAGCTGGTTGGTCTAAAACCTAGGAATGTGTGGTGATTTAATCTTCGTATGTGAAAGCATCACACGGGAATATGTTTTCCTTTCCATCCTGTCAGCAATATGAAGGAAGCTGTATGTTTTCCAACTGGTAAAGATTTGCCATGAGCCAGGATTGCCTTTCTTATGCTTAAAATGCACTCACCAGCCTTGGCCCCCAGCAAATCATTAGAGCCCCATGCCAACCCATCTCTGCAACGCTCCCTGGCATTAGCAGTAGGAGCTGTGAGGTCTGGTCACTTCTCCTATTCTGGTACATTTTGATTCAGTGGAGCCTCTCTGCCCAAGCTCGGTCTGCAAATGTCCGTGCAAATACCTCTTCCACCTGGAGAGTCCCCGGCATCGATTGCCTTTTTGCAACTTTGCTTTGCGGCACAAAGGTGGCATACCCAACTCCAGACCTGAAACCTACTGCTCTCTAAATGGCAAACACTTATCTGTCATGTGGAACGTGAGCCTCCAGTACATTAGTGCTGCCCCTCAACTGTTTCCTAGCAGTACAATTCCTACCTCAATGAAGTCACTTTGATGTGCATCAATGTAGTTGAAGATCTCAGTCTCCAGCACTGAAATGGATGACAAGGACATTCTTGCCTTAAAGAGCAGCACAAGGCTGAGGTGGGCACTATCTGAAAGTGAAAGATAAAATTAAGGAGTAGAGAAATCCTGTAACGTGCACTTCTTTTCTGCACTATGAACCACAGACAACTGTGCAGAATACTGAACCTTCTTTAGGTCCTCCAAACCAGGAGAAAGGATATCTGAGTTATTTTATCACAAAAAATCTGCAATCATTCATAATCAATCTTCCAAAAGAAAAAAAAAATAGTGAAAAATTGACCAAAGAGTAAACAGCTTTGTGCTTTGCAATTTCTGCTTTGGAAGGAAATCAGGGGAAGTATTTTCCGAAGAAATTCTCGCTGCATCAGTTTGCAATGCACAGCTGCACGCTGCACATTCTGCAAAGACAGCCGCAGGGGAAGGCTTACAAACACCAGCACACGGCCGCTGCCCAGGGGAGTCATCTTTCCTTTTCTTCATTTCCAGAAAAGGAGGAAAATAGGTTCCCTGACACACACTCTGTTTTTCACATGAATAAGGAATAACAGCCCCAGCACAGATAACTAATAGCTGCTGCAGGTGAACAACAACAGCAGATATACTGAGACACTCGGTAAGTGCAGAATTCATTTAGTGCTTGCAAACCTCTCTGCATCTTGTTTTTCCTGAGATGAGCGATGATTTTAAAAATGTAATTTTTAAAAGTGTTTTTCTTTCTTTCTGAAGTTTTATTTTCTTGTTTCTTTGAAGTTCTTACTGTAGATTCTTGAATAGTTGTTAACGAAGTAATATATACAGTGAGGCTAAATTCAGAATAGCTGCTGTGTTGGGCTGGGTGATGGGATGAATCCCAAGGTCAAGACCCCACACATTGACTCTATGCAGGTCCAGCCATAATTCCTTAACTCAGATGCATCATAAAATGATGATCTATAGCAATAATAATAATTTAAAGTATGTTTTTTTCCAACAGAGGAGTATAGGAAACCTGTGTGGAGAACAGAAGAGGGAAAGAAGGGAAGGGGAGTAGGAGAGTGGAAAGAAGAGCTGGGGTTATCCCACCTGGAGAACAGTCAGCTGAGGCATAGTAGTACTAAGTAGCCTGATGTGTTTCCAGCAACAGGCATAGCCATTGTTACTGCATGACACTTCAAACCAGCAAAGGAAACAGCAACAACAAAACACAAAAAATTCACTTTTTTTTTCCTAAAATAACCAGACTAACTCCAGTCAAGATTTTCAGTTAGTTCATCTCCTAGACCTTAATTACTTCAAAGTGTTTGCAATCTTGATCTTTAAAATCAAACTAGAGAAAGCAAACCTCCAAGATAATGATAACTAAAAACTGCTTCTGTGATTTCAGTATTGACCTAAAAGCCTGCAAGACCTGTTTTTGAACAGGGAGCTCTTTGTCCCTTTGTCAAAGCACATTTACCTGTAAAAACTACAGATTTGTTTTCCCGTAGAGACAAACTAGACAAAACAGCTTTGAAAATAATCTCTGAAACACTGCTTCAGCCGTGCCTTCTAGGAATTTGGTAAAGAACAGATCCTGAAGTTGAAAGCTGAACATAGAGATCCCTAACATATGAAGTCCAGGCACCATTTTTCAAATCCTCCTTTCAAGCACAGTTTCTTCCACATTACCGGTGACACAAGCCACTCTTTGAAGTAAAAACTTGAGAAGCTTTGTGACACTACATGTAATCACCACTGTCCGGTTCCTCATTCCTGCTGACACTGGCAGCACTGGTGTTGCCAGAGACCAAATGCCAGTTCTGCAATACATTAGAGCTGCAAAGCACAGCTACAGAGGTCGCCTGTTGATTGAGACAAGAAAAAAACAAACCCAGGGCAATTTTAGGATGGAGATGTTAAGTGTGAAATATAATTTAAGTGATAAGATTTGAAGGAAAATATCATAAAACCATTAAGGCCTGAAAAGACCACTAAGATCATCTAGTCCAGCCATCAACCCATCATAAGAAAAAACAAAAATCAAACGATGGTCAAAGAGGCACATTCTTCCCACGCTGTTTTCTTTATGAGAAGGCAAACCTTGCCTCCAGCAGGTGGACCTAACCAACCATCATCTTCAAATACTACTATCATCCATCACAGAAGCAACAATTTGGCATAACACAAAAGGGATTTTTCAAGCAAGCATGAAAACATTCAAGACATTTAAGAGGAGACAAGCTTTTAGGATTTAGCAACAAAAATGTAGTGGAGAATGAGGATTTGGACTTTAGTAGGTAAAGTTATTATAGACATCTTTGGATGGATCTTCAGTAGGGATGACTTAATAACATAAGTTTCTCAACCGGCATCCCAAACTTCAAAAGCCCAGTCTGGCTATTTCTTCCAGCCTTTGGCTGTGCAAAAGGCTGCAAAAATTTGGCAACTGAAGTCCATTTTATAGAGAACAAGCATAATCACACATACCACCAGCAGGATTTCCCAGATGCAGAGAAGACAAGGCTGGGAATCCCATGTGGGGGCAGTAGTGGCTCTTCCCTGATGAACAAGGTTTACTGACAAAAGTGAAATTTTGACACTTTCCAGGGTGCTGCCTGGATGGATACAGAGGTTATTTGGGCTGTGATGCTGCAGGCTGTGTCTGAAAGAAGCCCAAAGTACTGGGGGATGATAAATGTTAGGCAAGAGATAGGCATAGAGGCAATCTTTATGCAGTTTGTAACAGCTCTGTCTGCATGATTTTGCACTACCTCACTTGAACCAGGAGCAGATTACCTTCATGTTGTCACAAATCCTCCTCTGTTTCACATACATTTCACTCGTTCTTTCTAGTTTGTTGTTTCTAGACCTTGACAGGGTAAGTACTTGCAATGAATGCGTCCTGATTTAACCTTATTCTGTGAAACAAAACAGGCTTTTCTAATTTCAGCTACCTAAAAAAGTACCTTTTGGGTATGTTGCACTTGAACAAGGAAGATCAGAACACAGGTTACAATACGGTTGTTAAAGTAACCACATTCATACAATGAATAAGTACTGATTTCTCCATCATCCATAGTTTTCCCTCTTTCTGTTCATGTATTCCATCTTTCTGAATTGCATGCATTTTCACTGTAAAAAAAATAGATGAGTATATATATCTGGCAGCTTTGCGTGACTTGAAGAAACGCAGTTCTTTTAATATTACACAAAGGTCAGTATCACAGGAGGGCTTCTACATGGGAGACTTATAGTATGGTGAGGTTATCTCCTTTATATGCTACATATGAATGACCTGGAAGAGATGCAGACAAGAGACATACATTTTCAAGTCATGTCTTATTAGCTTCTTACCACTTAAGAAAATGAAAGGAGGATTCTAAAACCCTGCGGAAGGAAAAAGAAAAAACTCCTTCAAGCAAGCAAAACATTCTAGAAACAAGTGAGATAACTGCAAGGTTTTTCAGAGACAACCTTCACTAAAAGTTTATAGAATGTCATAAGATTTTCTTTAAAGAGATAAGCATTAAACAATGGCAAAGTTCAGAAATTGAATGCAAGGAGATACTTACACAGTCCTCCAAAGCAGCAGAGCACACCAAACACTCAAACAAGAAATTAGGTAGCAGAAATGTTGCACTGCACTTCAGGGAAACGGGGAGCAGCAGATGGGGCTTCTCATCCACGCATTGCTCACGCACAAACAAGGCTGATAGAAAGTGTTTGGACAGTGTCTGGGAAAGCTTGTGCAAAAAGAAGGTCGGTTTGATAACGGAGTAGAAAGATTTCAGGCAAGGCTGAAATAGCTCAGTGTTGCAAGGAGGGAAAAACAACCTGAAAGGATGATAAAGCCTGCAAAAGAAGCAACATCAAACAAAGACTTCAGTGTTCAATTTCAAGTGTGTTTGACTTGTTCTCATTTTAAAGAGCAGTTGCTGCCCTATAGGAAAGTGCAATATGACTATTTTTAGAAATAATTTCTGACAGTCACGCAGTTTCTCTTCCTGTGTTTCTTTGCAGTGAGAACACTGCGTGTCTCATTTCCTTCCATCTCCTTCAGTACATTAAAAGAAAACTTGATTGCCCTTAGAGGATGATTTAACAAGAAATCCAAGCTGATTCTTTAACTTGGATGTATCTGTGATAAAAGACCAGCTAAGTTTACAAAGATTTGAGAACTCCTGAATGTGCTTTTCCACCATTCTCCCCATTCTTGGCATGTTTATCTTAGGTGATTCCTCCCAGAGATGCTGAGATGCAGCATTTGACTGGGGAGCTGCAGAGATTACCGATGAGAACTGAACATTTTACAACCAAGCTACAGAAAAAATAAAGGCAGAAACCACCTAGTTTTCAAATAATAAAAATAAAATTTGATGTGAAAAGAAGTAAAAAAACGTGTGTGGCGGTAAGAGTTTATTGATGGTGGCAGGCTCCCTTGAGAGGAATACTCCCTCTACCAAATCACTGTCATTTAACTTCCTTTCATGATATTCAGAAAGAAGTGCTCCCTCTTTAATGGAAGCAGGCAGCCAAGGACCAGAGGCCTCTCCAGCTGGGTGAGGCTCTGCGAGGCGGTGAAGCACAGCTCTGCAGGCCAAGGACAGACCTCTTGCAGCTGATAAAGGTGTAACAACATGGAGCCACGCAGATCTGGACATGAGTACCCTCACAAAGCCTGACTGTGTGGAGATGGTTAAAGAAATGGCATCAAGTCCAGAGAGCTGCATAACAGCAAGGATGCTTTTTGGTGGGGAGCAGAGGTGACCCTGGCACTTGCTGCCAGATGAGGCTGCAGCCTCCAGCAGAAGCCCTGAAGAAGCATTGAATGTGAGCTGCCTTGAGGGCTTTTCAGAGAATAGCAATGGTCATCCTTGCACTTTTTTGCTCACAATGACTCCCAGAGAAAAAAACAAGCCTCTGTTTATCAGTTCTGGTTTGCTATATTGCAATAATAGTGAAGAAGAAAGCCCTTACCTCTTTGTTTTCTTGTTTTGCAGCTTTATAGCTGGTGATGAGACTCTGAGCCAAAAAAGATCTCCTCTGCCACGTGCAGAGCAAGGGCATTAATCTCAGTTCATGGTAGTGTCCTGTCGTTATGAAGGGTACT